AGTCTTGCAGTGTGTTGCTGGTACATATCCCACATCATGCTGTTTTGCAGTGTGTTGCTTTTGCATATCCCACATCATGCTGCCTTGCAGTGTGTTGCTGGCACATATCCCACATCACGCTGTCTTGCAGTGTGTTGCTGGTACATATCCCACATCTTGCTGCCTTGCAGTGTGTTGCTGGCACATATCCCACATCATGCTGTCTTGCGGTGTGTTGCTGGTACATATCCCACATCATGTTGTCTTGCAGTGTGTTGCTGGTACATATCCCACATCATGCTGTCTTGCGGTGTGTTGCTGGTACATATCCCACATCATGTTGTCTTGCAGTGTGTTGCTGGCACATATGCTATTACGAACACAAGTGCAAATGAAAAGCCTATAATACCTGACGGTATATCAGGTTCCCCAGCGACGATCAGTCCACCAGAATAAACACGAAAAACAAACAGCAACAAGAGCATTTTTTTAGTTCTCGTGTATTCCACCACCAATATTTACATTATTGCAGTGTGTTGCTGGCGCATATCCCACATCATGCTGTCTTGCAGTGTGTTGCTGGTACATATCCCACATCATGCTGTCTTGCAGTGTGTTGCTGGTGCATATGGCACATCTTGCTGTCTTGCAGTGTGTTGCTGGCTCATATCCCACATCATGCTGTCTTGCAGTGTGTTACTGGTACATATCCCACATCATGCTGTCTTGCAGTGTGTTGCTGGCGCATATCCCACATCATGCTGTCTTGCAGTGTGTTACTGGTACATATCCCACATCATGCTGTCTTGCAGTGTGTTGCTGGCGCATATCCCACATCATGCTGTCTTGCAGTGTGTTGCTGGTGCATATCCCACATCATGCTGTCTTGCAGTGTGTTGCTGGTGCATATCCCACATCATGCTGTCTTGCAGTGTGTTGCTGGCGCATATCCCACATCATGCTGTCTTGCAGTGTGTTGCTAGTGCATATCTCACATCATGCTGTCTTGCATTGTGTTGCCGGTACATATCCCACATCATGCTGTTTTGCAGTGTGTTGCTTTTGCATATCCCACATCATGCTGCCTTGCAGTGTGTTGCTGGCACATATCAAACATCATGCTGTCTTGCAGTGTGTTGCTGGTACATATCCCACATCTTGCTGCCTTGCAGTGTGTTGCTGGCACATATCCCACATCATGCTGTCTTGCGGTGTGTTGCTGGTACATATCCCACATCATGTTGTCTTGCAGTGTGTTGCTGGTACATATCCCACATCATGCTGTCTTGCAGTGTGTTGCTGGCACATATCCCACATCATGCTGTCTTGCGGTGTGTTGCTGGTACATATCCCACATCATGTTGTCTTGCAGTGTGTTGCTGGTACATATCCCACGTCATTCTGTCTTGCAGTGTGTTGCTGGCAATCCCACATCATGCTGTCTTGCGTGTGTTGCTGGTACATATCCCCATCATGTTGTCTTGCAGTGTGTTGCTGTGCACATATCCCACATCATGCTGTCTTGCAGTGTGTTGCTGGTACATATCCCACATCTTGCTGCCTTGCAGTGTGTTGCTGGCACATATCCCACATCATGCTGTCTTGCAGTGTGTTGCTGGTACATATCCCACATCTTGCTGCTTGCAGTGTGTTGCTGGCATATCCCACATCATGCTGTCTTGCGTGTGTTGCTGGTACATATCCCACATCATGTTGTCTTGCAGTGTGTTGCTGGTACATATCCCACATCATGCTGTCTTGCGGTGTGTTGCTGGTACATATCCCACATCATGTTGTCTTGCAGTGTGTTGCTGGCACATATGCTTACGACACAAGTGCATGAAGATGCCTATAATACCCCGACGGTATTATCAGGTTCCCAGCGACGTTCGTCACCCGAATAAACACGAAACAAACAGACAAGGCTTTCTTTAGTTCTGTGTATCCACCACATATTACTTATTGCAGTGTGTTGCTGGCGCATATCCCACATCATGCTGTCTTGCAGTGTGTTGCTGGTACATATCCCACATCATGCTGTCTTGCAGTGTGTTGCTGGTGCATATCCCACATCTTGCTGTCTTGCAGTGTGTTGCTGGCTCATATCCCACATCATGCTGTCTTGCAGTGTGTTACTGGTACATATCCCACATTATTCTGTCTTGCAGTGTGTTGCTGGCGCATATCCCACATCATGCTGTCTTGCAGTGTGTTGCTGGTGCATATCTCACATCATGCTGTCTTGCAGTGTGTTGCCGGTACATATCCCACATCATGCTGTTTTGCAGTGTGTTGCTGGCGCATATCCCACATCATGCAGTCTTGCAGTTGTGTTGCCTGGTACATATCCCACATCATGCTGTTTTGCAGTGTGTTGCTTTTGCATATCCCACATCATGCTGCCTTGCAGTGTGTTGCTGGTACATATCCCACATCTTGCTGCCTTGCAGTGTGTTGCTGGTACATATCCCACATCATGCTGCCTTGCAGTGTGTTGCTGGCACTATCCCAACTCATGCTGTCTTGCAGTGTGTTGCTGGTTCATATCCACATCTTGCTGCCTTGCAGTGTGTTGCTGGCACATATCCCACATCATGCTGTCTTGCGGTGTGTTGCTGGTACATATCCCACATCATGTTGTCTTGCAGTGTGTTGCTGGTACATATCCCACATCATGCTGTCTTGCAGTGTGTTGCTGGCACATATGCTATTACGAACACAAGTGCAAATGAAAAGCCTATAATACCTGACGGTATATCAGGTTCCCCAGCGACGATCAATCCACCAAAATAAATACGAAAAACAAACAGCAACAAGAGCATGTTTTTAGTTCTCGTGTATTCCACCACCAATATTTACATTATTTTCAGAGTGGTTTAATCCAGCAATATAGACGGACACAGATCAGAATAACAACAAGTGTATGTGTAAAGCAGGTGATCTCACTGCAATTGGTTTTCATGCGAGAGAGCAGTATGTGTACTCAACCTGCTAGTGAGAGACTGACTCCAACCACTGGCGTAAATATAATATGAATTAAGCTGAATTCAAATTCTCACTCAATCGGGTGATGTATAAACCTGGCAGCCAATCAGGGCGACTGGAGGAATCTATAGACAGTTTGACTTTTACAGAGGGATTGCAAGAAGTAGTTGTGTGTTGCTTACCGAATAAATTATAACATTCTCGGTACAAGTCATATATCCCACACCATGTATTCTTTCAGTTACAGACATTAACAGTGATTATATTTGACAGTTATTAGCATCTTCGTTTGCATGGTTGATAGACATTCTCCCTGAATTCAAGTCGTCCTACCTCGAGAGCAGCACAATCTATCTTCTTAACTCCCATCAGGATCTATGTGGACTTCTCGTATACAATTGCAGAAAATTTCTGTTAGGTTATGTTAAGCAAGTTTTAATTAAGATAGAAAAAATAACCCAGAGAGAAAATATAAATATAAAACAAAGGTCATATAAAGTTAAGTGGCGCAAACAGAAAACTGCTGCTGAGCGCGGGAAACATAATTGTCAAATTTTCATTAAGGGCCATTCATCTGTCACCCATATGATTGGTCCTTTTCAACAGATGAACGGTGATCCGTGTTGGTTTACTGAGATGATACTGATTGATACTCCTCAGTGTCCTGGGTCTTACCGTGTGCCATCTTGGTGATTAACATACTGATTGCTTCATCATTAATTCCACTTTCAGGTGCACTGTGTACTATTATTAGTCACGAAACATGTGGGCATCTTGGGGTATGGTAAGGCAACAGGATAGTGTAGACAGGGAAAACACTTAAACAGTTCACCCATCGTTTCACGTCTCACTTGTACATATTCATTTGTAACCAAAACAGTCAAAGGGAATCATATGCATAACTTCAGGTGGAGTAGGTGCAGGTTCATGGGATGCGAGTTGTTGTTCTTATTGTGTCCCAAGTAAAAAATTATTTTTTTTGTATTGTCTATGTACTCACCTATTGTGTTCTAGTACTTCAGTCTCCCCCCCCCTTGTGTACATGATCTCGGCTGAGAATAAGTTAATGATTCACGTCTACTGTTAAGTACATTACCATCCAGTGTTTTATATGAACTATTCATGGGTATTCAGCTGTTTTATTATCCTTAATTTGTGTGTTACAGTGTTTTATAAATAATTTTTCTTTTTATTTATGAAAACTCACCTATTTGTGTTTCAAAGGTTTTATTTGAAACCTCTTGGTGGTACCGCTGTGTTGTGTTTGTGTGTTACATGATGTTTCAGCTTATGAACCTAATTAGTGTGTTACAGAAGTTTCTTAATACAGTTGTGTCGTTACAGATGTTTCATTATGAAACCTAATTGTGTGTGTGAGTTAACAAGTGTTTTTATTATATGAAACCTAATTGTGTGTGGTACAGATGTTTTATTATGAAACCTACATTGTGTGTGTTACAGATGTTTTATTATGAAACCTACATTGTGTGTGTTACAGATGTTTTATTATGAAACCTACATTGTGTGTGTTACAGATGTTTTATTATGAAACCTACATTGTGTGTGTTACAGATGTTTTCATTATTAAACCTAATTGTGTGTGTTACAGATGTTTCATTATTAAACCTAAATTGTGTGTGTTACAGATGTTTCATTATTAAACCTAAATTGTGTGTGTTACAGATGTTTCATTATTAAACCTAAATTGTGTATGGTACAGATGTTTCAGTATGAAACCTACATTGTGTGTGTTACAGATGTTTCAGTATGAAATCTATAATGTGTGTGTTACAGATGTTTCAGTATGAAACCTACATTGTGTGTGTTACAGATGTTTCAGTATAAAACCCACGTTGTGTGTGTTAGAGATGTTTCAGTATAAAACTACGTTGTATGTGCTATAGTTTATTTTTGTGTGTTACAGATGTTTCAGTATAAAACCTTTTTTTGTGTGTGTTACAGATGTTTCACTAAAAAACCTACGTTGTTTGTATTACAGATGCGTGTGGGCGTGTCCGTGTGTTGTTGCTGGGGTTTTGTCTGCCACTGACAGTTGGGTTTCTCCAGGAAGTGGATCTACAGGGATTACCGTCTCGTACTTCTGGTTTCTCGCTAAGGCAAGGCATATGTGTCTGTCACACACACATAGTGTACTGGAGTTCACGTAATGTATAAAGATACTTATCTTGGTTGTATGGGTAATTGAGTTTAAAGCTTATGTACCTCATGAAGATCATTAAGGCTGCTATAACTTGCTCACTACTAGTCTAGAATACTCAGGTCACTAAAATAAAGATTAAAGTAAACAGCTCTCGATTTACTGAGGAAATCCACATTGATACAGTAACACAGTGTAGAAAGAGACTGTATTTCGATCACCGTAGATCTTCTTCAGCTGATGAACGTCAAAATATGGTCTCTTTTTAGGCAATGTTTTTGTCCGCATACGTGTTTCCTCAACTCATCCACTAGTGTCTATTACACTGTGACACTGCAACATCTCTCAGTGTATATGTTTGCTTAATATTAGTAACTTCGTAAAAAATGGCTGTAACATTAATGTTAATTAATGATATATTGATTAATGTAAATATTAATAAATGTAGATATTAATTAATGTAAATATTGATTCTTACAAGTATTGATTAACGCAAATATTGCTTTTGTTAGCTAGCATTTGTTGGCATTGATACCATCATAAATGTCCAGGAAAGGTCGCAATGAGCTACTGTCGGATAATAATCGGAATAATGGACTGGGGACTCGAACCGTGGTTCATGGAAGCAGCAGGCCCAGTGACGCAACCACTCTGCCACAAAGCTTACAGTATGATGATTTAACAACCAGCATTCATATAACATAGTTGCATCAACCGCACCAATATTCACCCTAAAGTCTCATCCCACACCCCCAGAAGCTTTCATGGCACATTTGTTCTCCTGAGAATCTATTCTACATCTAGATACATTTGCATCTGTATCTATTCTACATCTATTTTCATGGATGCAGAATAGGTACAAATATACCATGAAAGCTTCTGGGACTGTAGGATAAGACAGTAGTGTCACAGTTGATGCCTCTGATACAACCATGCAACAGAAGTGCTCTTGTAAAATCATCCAATTGTATGCTCTGTGACTGCGTGGGTAGAACGTTCGACCTGCTATGTGCACGGTTCAAGGTTCGGGTCCCAGTCCATTCTTCTATTTACTCATGTGTTGTTATAATCAATATTTCACTATTGCTTTACAGGGAGCTGTAGCAATAGCAGTCCTTAAAAAATTTATTAAAGATGCAACAGGCGCGTCAGACGACCTAACAGATCTGGTTAATGGCCCAGACGATCCTTCAGACCCTTCTCAAACGCCGTCTTCTCAACAAGATCCTCAAACACCGCTCTCTCAGCAAGGTCCTCAGATACCATTCTCTCAACAAGGTCCTCAAAATCCATTCTTTCAACAAGGTCCTCAGAGCTCATTCTTTCAACAAGCTCCTCAAACTTCATTCTTTCAGCAAGCTCCTCAAACACCATTCTTTCAACAAGCTCCTCAAACACCATTCTTTCAACAAGCTCCTCAAACACCATTCTTTCAACAAGCTCCTCAATCTCCTTTCTTTCAACGGCGCGACCATCGAGCCGTCGAGAGCGCGCTAGAAAAGCTAGATGAAGTGCAGAAGATGATGTTGACGGCAGCCACCCATTTGGATACTGACGGCTGTGTGCTGAAGCTTCTGTGTTACCTCCACAACAAGCAGCGAGATTCTCGTTCTCTGGAGGAAAACCTTCTTCTCCAGCTGTTCTTCAGCAGCTCAGAGAAGCTATCCCGCAGTGCTAGAGGGGTGGGTGATCAGATCACATGCGACCAGGTGTTCCCCAAGTGTCCCCTGGGAAAGGAAGAACTTAGTAGTCTTATGGTACAGACGTCAGGCTGCGGCAGCTTGACTTTCTGATCTGTGTAGTAGAATATTCGTGAAGGTAACTTTAATATACTTAACCAGAACTTGCATGATTTCCGTTTTGCCCTTCGAGGAAGTAAAGTACAGGCTGCCTTTCCATGAATTTTAGAACAACTGGAAGGATTTAACATCATGGAGACATGGATCGTGATGTGTTAAGGTTGATGAGTGAAGGGTGATTACTATCTGACGATCATCATAAATCTGTATACTGAAAATGAGGACATTTACATCGTCAGTGACCGCCGTCAGTGCCAACTGTTCAGTGACACACCAAAGGTGTGGTGTCTATAAGCCTCCATGAGTAAGGCAGGAGAGGCACCGCAAAAATGTATGCGCCGTCTCTGCTGTTTCTTTACTGTGCACTCGCAGATCATCCCTGTGAGTTGTGATACCAAAAAGGATAACTCTAGCTCTTAGTCAGACCCTATTTGATAGTACATTTTAATACATCTGAAACCCGAAGTTAGGTAAGATTCGTCAGGAAACATGACAAGTGTTTCCTGACGAGGATCTTAGTCATATGATGACCAGCCACTGGAGCTTTTGGTCATCTGACCGGGGCCTTTCCCTGGCTTACCCGGCCACCCCTTCAAAAATTAAGGTTATAATTATATCCTAATTAGTCCTAGTTTTTATCCAAGCTTTATCTAGAGAAATAACAAACATGTGATTTGACTTCAATTTGAAATTATATTTAGAATCTTGGGATTGCATCCACATATTCCTAAATAATTAACAAATTATATAAATACTGCGTACTGCAAAAATTAAATTATTGTAAATATTAAATAACTGTAATTTAGACATTATAGTCACTTCATCTGCATATTAGTTTCATGTAGTTTGTTAATTATTCTAAATGTAATATATGGACGCAGTCTCAAAATTTTTTGATAACATTACTGATGAAGTCATTGTATCATTTAATTAAGTGGAATTTAATCACATCTTAGTTAATTGTTTAGTAGATTGCTCAAATGTGGATGAAACTCTTAAGTTCTACATACGTCAAAATTTGCGATTAAGTGATTTGAAATCACCAAAATCTAAAAGTGCGGATTTATCGGCGAATTGTTCCAGCCACGGAATTACTAATTTTTTCCTCAAGTGGTTTGAAATTCCATTTGGTTTGCTTGAACTAATTTGTAAAGCCAAATTAGATCATATCAAATCTACATTTATAGGAACATCACAGGGATAGGTATGACACCTAGGAGTCGATGGAAATGATCTACGGTACGTATGGGGTTAGAACCCATGGCAAATGAATCGTAAAACTTCAGGCCGCTAGCTAGTAAGCCACTGGCCAGCTGGCTACAATAAGATTCATCCAACTAAATATATCTCTACACTACAGGGAGGTTAGCATGGGCCTCCACTGTGACTTGCGCACCCAGGTGGAGTTTTATGACTCACTTGTCATGGGTTCTAACCCCACCAGTACCCTGGTTTGTTTGACATCGTATTATTAAGATTTCGTGAGTCATGCATGGAAGCATTGTTCACTAAACCCATTTTGTGCTCAGCATATCGATCAGTATTGAGTCTCTGGACAACATACAACATAGTGTTCTAGTATGTGACCCGCGTGTGTTTACTCACTTGACATTATATATGACTGACATTGCTATATAAACTGATCTGCCAAATATATTTATATCCTAGTCTTAGTCTACCAGTGACACGATTTTGTATTTTATTGATGGAAAACTAGACACAAATGCTGTATAATGCGATCCTTTACTGACTAGGTTTCGCCCACACACAGTGGGCTTTATCAAGACGCAAACAGACGTTTGTGACTTGATATAGCACATTGTGTGGGCGAAACATTGTCAGTAAAGGATTGCATTATGCTACAGTTGTGTCTACTTTTCCATCGTGTCGGTATTTTATACCATTTATTTCTAAATTATTATTATTAATATTGATATTTATTAGTATTATTTATTTTATATTTACAAACAGCCCTAAACTCGTGTTTTTTTCTCCTTACATATATTTTACTTAAATTTCTATAGCCAACAAATTGTAGATAATCAGTCCACAAGTTTGTGTCTGTAACAATATTTGAGTGACGATTTATTATTGACTTCTTAAATGTTACTGAACCTTGACACACATTGTGTTACAGATAGCGGCACTTTGCCAGAACTAGTCAGCACAGTTAGCTAGAGTATATGCTATGCCAGCTGGTAAACCTTTTGCAGTCATTTACATCAAGTTTTTAGTCATTTCATATATTAAATGCAGTCTCATGTTATAGCTAATCATCTCATTGCAATATGTAAGTGCAATCTTAATGTGTTTTTTTTTACAACAAAACATTGTTCACTGACTAGGTTGGAACCTCTGTGCAGTGTGGCTACAGTCACAAGATTTCGGATATCTTATCATTAACCACTGAGTGATTTAACTAACATTTCCTGTATGATTTGCTTAAACGTGTTTCTAGACAGTTCAATGTTTGAACATTCTAACACAATGTTCAGTATATGCTTCTGTCTAAACAATATACATTTAATGTGCCCGGCATCTCCAAACAAACTGAAGTGATAAAGAAAATTATAACCTTGCATTAGTCTAGTAGTGGATACTTGTCAGCTATTGATCATACTGTCTTCAGAGACAGTATGATCGGCTAGTTTCAACATGTGCTGTTGTTTCTTCAAACTCATTTTCTGGTTCTTTTCTGTCAGTGCGTTCCAACCTTCTGTTTGAGAAATCAGAATTACAGTCGACATTCTCTCTCTGTTTATTGTTTATTTTATCAAGACATCGACTTTATGATGCTGCACTTGTGTCCTTCTACCTAGCAAGCCTATGTAAGAAAGAATCCACAAAAATTAAACTTGAATTCCTTCGTCAATAATTTATGTATACTTGTTTGACTTCATATAAACGCGTTATATTCAGAATTCAGGCTATCTAGAGCAAGTAATGAGGAGGGTCAGAGACAACTGAACTTTCTGTCGTTTCAAATAATCAAGGTTAGTAACTACTGTTCTAAAATATAATGCTACATTATATTAAAATGTGCGTTAATGTCCTCACAGCCTATTGCTACTGAATGTACGCGGCATATTTGACCGGCAAAATGTGGACATAGTTACTCAAGTCACGTGATGACAAAATATATATCTTGAGAAGGCTAAAAAAAGTTAAGCAAGGGTTAATATTGTTTAGATAACGAATGAATCACCAATGGCGTAAAGTAATAAATAACAATATGATACAATATACAATATTCAATAAGAAAATTAAGGAAAATCAGGTTTGGAACTCTACAAGATGAAAATTAGCACAACTTTCATTAAAATGAACTGAACTTATCATATTAAATATTTATTAATTGAACTCTTTGAGTTTAAAAAAAAAAATATTGACAAAGGCACATACTAATTAATATATATGAGGTGCAGGTGCTTTATATTCGTCAGGAAATATGACAAGGTTTTCCTGACACTAGTCTTAATCATATGAGGATTTGCGAACTGGAACTTATGGTCATATGCCCGAGGTTTTTCCTTGGTTTGCGTTCCCCACTGTTTAATAAAAGACAAAATGAAAATTACTGGACTAAGGATCCAGGTTCATTATATAGGATTCCAGAAACTGAGTTATAATACACTCCAGCAGCTTGTACACAAGTCTAGTGTCAACACCTTTCTCAATGTTATATACATTCCTGTATATATAGTAAGTACACTCCTCTCCGGCAATATGTACACATCAGTTCAGTGGTATGTACACACCTGTCCAATCGTTATATACTCTTTTTCAGTGGTATGTACTCTTGCCCATTGGTATATATATTCCTGTCACCTGTCAATAGCTTGTACATACTTGTCCAGTGGTATATACACACTTGTCCAATGGTATGTATACACCTGTACAGTGGTACGCACATAGTACTTGCCTAGTGGTATGTACACGCCTGCACAGAGGTATATGTACACTTGTCCAGTGGTATGTACTTTTACTCCTTTTCAATGTGATATATGAAGGAGGATCCTCGCCTTGCTGGGTTTAATCACACAACTCTGTGTAGTCGTAATACAAAACTTACATTCATTTATTCGTTTCCGAAGTAAGAACATCTTTTTCTAGTCAGTTACATTTGGTCAATAAATGACATTTTAATTCAAAAGATTTATTGACAGGCACATGAGGCGAATACAGAACAAACTACCTTTTTTTTTACACTTTCAGCCATTATGACACAAAATAATTCACTACTTACGGAAATCAGCTATTATATTGTATATTTTCACACTATACTTGTTAATAGCCTTTGTAAGTTAACAGAATTATTATAACCCTAACGCTAGAAATTACAACTATAAGTTTGGATGTGGAGAGCGTTAAAGGATGATCTAAGTTTGGTGAGGATCTCACAGTCTCATGCTCTAAGCAACCCCTCCACAACATGCTCAATGAACATGCAACTCTCCACACAATAAATGATGAATGCGTTTTTTCATGTGCATTATTCTGTGTAAATCTAACGGGTAGATGGTGTGGCACCAGCTGCAGGTGTGGTCAGGTAAGGGAGGTGTCGAGGGCACACCTGAGAGTGTCACCAACGCTCCCAGGAGTGTTAATAATACTTTACTGACTAACAGATTCTTCAGGGAAGTCGAAGCCACAGCCCCAGGTCTTCTGCAGGAGGTCATTCAATTCCGCGTCACTCAGAGTGCACTTGTTGAAGACCTTTTTGCAGACGGCAGCGTTGCGAGTCTTCTTGCCGATATCTGTGGCGTAGACAAAGGCGGCGTTGTAAGAAGTAATCTTCTCGTTGCTGTTGGTGAATAACTTAGTTAGAAGTTTCTCCTCCAGGGTACGGGATGTTTCCTCCTTCGTCTGCAGTTGACACAACATCTTACGAATACATCCGTCTTGGTCGACTTCACTCACGGAGGACAGCAAGACTTTCTCTTCTTCCTGAGCTGGATCATCAACTGAACGCTTCCCGAAAACTAGTCCACTTCCAAGCTTGACTGCCAACAAGGCCTGTGAGGTAACAAACCAGTGTTAGATAATCCATATTATGGCAAAAACTACTTCACATCCAGAAAATAAAACAAAACGTGAGTAAATGTCTTTCATCTTCGCACTGAAGCCGGCTTTTGCTGATTGAAGAGGACTCGGCGTGAAGCCGAAATATACAGTAATCAACTTACCATCTGTTTCACTTCCTCCGAGTGGTTTATTATACTGTGTTGGAATATTATTATTTATTATTATTAAAGATTCGCCGGAATTCTCCCGGCCCGGGCCTTTTCCAAGTGGTGGCCCGGCCTTGGCTCCCTCTTTAGGGGCTGTCTGAGACCTAAGTCTCCCATGGGAGGAGGCACAAGTACCTCCTCATCTTTGGGACCAACTGTCCCCAGGCCTAGCCACAAGCTAGGCCTGGTCTGTCATCCCCGCACCAAGTGGGACAGTCCTGTGAGCTGTAAGCTCGGGCTCAGGCACCTACCCTACCCTAGAAGGGTTAGGCATGGTATCGATTTTGGAATATTATACTATCATCATAATAAGCTACAGAAATGTAATCTATAAACTGGTATAGAAAGTAATTATGTTATTTTATTTACAGAAACATAAAACACACCTCAAGCCTTTAATTACCACGAAAGTGACTCTTATTGTGTAAACACTGATACATACCTTTCAGCATATATTATATATATTATATATATATATATATATATATATATATATATATATATATTATATATATATATATATATATATATATATATATATATATATATATATATATAATATATATATATATATATATATATATATATATATTTATATATATATATATATATATATATATATATATATATATATATTTATATATTATATATATATACATACGTATATGTTGTGCCGAATATGTAAAACTGGTCAATTAGCAAGAACTCATTTAAAATTAAGTCATTTCTAAAATATTCTCTTATACTTTTAAAGATATATTTTTTCATTAATGTTAATGTAAAAAATTTTAATTTTGCTCCAAAAGAATCTTAGAAACTTACCTAACACTTATTATAACAAGAAAATTTATTTTTAGCCTAACCCAACTAAATATATTTTTGATTTGTTTACAGTAATTTAGTACTAAACAAACACAGTGAAATGTATTTTTTTCGTTAGGTTCAGAATGATTTTGGCGTAATTATTGCATACACAAATTTTCGCTTGTCCTAATATGGCAAGATGAGAGTTGCTATTTAAGCCAAGATCGCAAGTTCTGCCTATTCGGCACGACATATATATATATATACATATATATGTATGTATATATATATATATATATATATATATATATATATATTATATATATATATATATATATATATATATATATATATATATATATATATTTATTATATATATATATATATGTCGTGCCGAATATGTAAAACTAGTCACTTAGCAAGAACTCATTTAAAATTAAGTCCTTTCTAAAAATTTCGCTTATACGTTTAAAGATATATTTTTTTAATTTGTGTTGATGTAAAAAATTTTAATTTTGCACCAAAAGGAACTTTGAAAACTTACCTAACCTTATTATAACAAGAACAATTTATTTTAGCCTAACCCAACTATATATATTTTATATTTGTTTACAATAATTTAATAATAAACAAACACAGAGAAATATATTTTTTTCGTTAGGTTCAGAATGATTTTGGCTAAATTATTGCATACACAAATTTTCGCTTGTCCTATATGGCAAGATGAGAGTTGCTATTTAAGCCAAGATCGCAAGTTCTGCCTATTCGGCACGACATATATATATATATATATATATATATATATATATATTATATATATTATATATATATAATATATATATA